TGTTTATCCCTGAAGACATGTATCCTGGCTATTAGGGCTATTATGCTTTTCATTTGCAGACCTGGCTTCAAAATTAGGATTCGTTCCCAGTATTCAGGATAGGTGAAGTGAAAAAGACAAATTTCTTCACGGGGATTAATGAAGTCTAATTTATATCAAAGAAATTTAGACACAGCATTGGCTAGATGCACAATTTGAAATGCTATGCTAGGTAACGTTATCTTCTTTGTTAGCTTAGCCACAAAGCTACAGTCCTCTCTTCTGTCATTGTAGTTTTGTAAGAATGATCTAAACAACAAACTCTCTCTAGTTTTTACTCTGCTGTGTTTATGGTGCTGCGTTTTTGTGCATGTCATTCGTTTGATGACGTTTTATATTATAAGGTTTGTTCCACTTTAGCTATGAGTATCCACTTCCACGCCATATATGACGCTCTGGATTCCACCACTGTGACAGTGCTTTTGCAATGAATTTGAGAGGCGGAGCTTCTGAAGGAGCACTGAAGGGAGGGTGTATTTGTTTTGCTGTTGAGTTCAAATATCAACTGTCTCTCTCCAGCACTGCTTTCTCTACCTTTAACCCTGTCTCCATGGCAATTGCTGCAATGATGACAAATTTGGTGTCTCAATAAACAAAATGACTAAAAATTCTGGAGCCTCAACTGATGTCTCATTGTTGTGTGTTTTAGTAATGTCATTACATGTGTAACAAACACAGGAGGATATTTTACACTGTGTGCCTTTCAGACATAATATAACAGAATTGGTTTGTCAGAGTTTGTGTTTGCAGTCTGTGGGTTCAGACTTTAAGTCAGCACAGGACTTCAGTACACTCTGCAAATCGTGAAATGTTTATTTGCAAGGCTACCTGCATCGTACAGCTCATTCTCCTGAGGATGAGTCATCCACAGGCTACATACAGTATATTTAAGGTGGGCTTTGGATAAGCTCCTGGAGGAGAATGTAGAGGGGCAAAGAACACTGCTGAGCCATCACAGCTGTACTGATTTTCTGTCACATTGTTTCACAACAGGAGACATTACCTGGTAAAGGAAACTGTAAATCTCACCCATCCCCCGCTATAACCACTGCACAAGGTCCTGTCAACAGTCAGCTGTGTATTGATAAAGGGAGCCAGGTATTTGCTGCCACATTGTTTCTGTCCAAAATATGTTTGCTGGGAAAAATGTAGAGGGAGATTATTAAATGAAATATTACTGAAAAAAACAAAAAACTGCTGGGCGGAAAAAGAGGATGGCAAACAAACATGTAAGACACCGTATTAGATAAATTTCTGTTGTAGATATCATGAAAAATAATGCATAGTTTGGTAATATTCAGCTGGGAGTAAGAAACCATCTGCTTTTCTCTGATTTCTCTTCATTTCTGTATGTGACCGACAGTATACATATAATGCCCTTGAAAACTGATGTTTGTTGTTACTTCAGATCGACCTCAGTCAACCAAGTCAACCAGGTTTTTACAGACAAAAATGAACACTCTTTTGAAATTTGGCATGTTTGTGGGAAGAAATACCATCTAAGGCTACCTGCCCTTTAACAAAATGTACACCCTGGTCCCCCAACAATTATTTTCAGTGCTGATTAATCTGTTGATTCAGTTTTCACTTAATTGATCAACTGTTTAGTTTATGAAATAGTAACAACTGCCAATCACAATCACCTTTAAAAAAGCTCAAGGTGACTAAATGTCTACTTTTGTCCCAAAGAAAAATTAGAGAAAAGCAGGAAATGCCAAAATTATAGAAGCCATAGTCAAGCATTTCTGCTAGGTAAACAACTAAAACGAATGGATTATCAAAACTCTTGGCGAATAATTTTCTGATGACTGACTAATCGAATAATTGACTAATCATTTGAGCACTAGTTTTAAATCTCTGCAAAGGTGTAAGCTATCAAGGCTTACCTTATCCAAAATCACTATGTTTGACTGCCTTTTGAGCTGAAGTATCGTCCAAAACGTGCTCCAATGTAGTAATTTTATTTTATAGTTATGTGTCTATTCCTTTGCTTCCCACAGTAGGATTCACTGGACACAAATGTACGTGGTGTAAAAAACAATCTGACTTGGCCCTGCTTTACATGCCAAATCCAGGGTGCATCCCAGGAATTTCCATAAACCCCATTTAAATATTTGCATTAAGCATCACGGGACAGGACAATGAGCAGAAGCAACGCTCTTGTGCCTTGCCTATGATGCCGTATTTTTGACTGAAAAAATAGTAAAATAATTTTGTTAATTTTCTACAACTGAACACTAACAGATTTTTCCTTTCAATCTTCTCCATGTTTGGTCTTTTTTCTATTAAACTGAACTATCCACAAATGCATGTGTCCCTCGAAGAGAAGTGTGGAGGAGCATAAAATAATAAATACCAAGGCTGCTCTTGACAACTATTTAAAGCACTATTTGAATCAGAAATATTAGTCTTCACTTTTCAGCATGTTCACATAAACATGAGACACAGTGAGTGTATCAAGCATTCGTACCCATTTTCAGGTGACTTTTACACATAATTATTAAGCTAACAGAGGTAAAAACAAAAGCCAACAAACGACACTATTAGTGGTAAAAGGACAGACAGTGCTGGTTGTCAGCTCTCTACGAGTTATTCCACCGTGACATATTGCTTTAAGATATCAGGTCATCTAATTAGACAGGGGACGAAAAGTTCACAGCTGTGACGTTCTGCCTTGTGGGAGTCAGGAACATTGTAGGAGGGATCATATACTTATATTTGTATGTGGTAGTCTGTGTCTCTCTTAAAGCCTATTTCAAACACTGGATTTAGCAGAAATACTCTGAATTTCATTTCGGTCAACACTCAAGGTTTCTCGGATCAGAATCAGAATAAAAAATCACAATTAACTGCATCAGCTCTGTGTGTGTGTGTGTGTGTGTTCGTGTGATGGCATCTGGGGGTGTGTCAGGTTAAATGTTGATGTTTTATTGACACCTTTGTTTTTAGCTGCCTTGTCTGTTGTCTATGTTTATTACCAGTCATTTATGACTCTGCAAGAGGTTCAGAAAAGGCTATTTTCCCTGTAAATAGGGATACCAATAATGATAATAATAAAACAATACAATCTAAATTCCTTTGACAGCTACATGTTGTAACATAATGACAAATTAAAAGTGCTCAGTCTTCAGGGTGAAATGCCATTAAAGTCACTGTGATCTTTGTTTAACAATACAAAAATAGAGTTAACAACTTTATGACGCATTTACACAGAGGTGTTTTTTACTAACAAATCACAACACATAGCATGTAATGTCTCTCATGGAGGCAAGATAAAACAATGGGTCCGACATGATCTGAGATTCTACCTGCAGTTGCTAAGCAACACCCACCTCCAACCTCTCAATCTGTCCCATTGGTCAGCAGGAAAAACGCACAAGGCGCCCCATTGGCTAAGAGAAAGTTAATAAACTTTAGCCAAGACCTGCCTCCCTGTGTGCGCACACACACTCTCCCCCTCTCCCTCTCTCTCTCTCACACACACAATGAAGAGATTCTTGTGAATGAGAGCATGAGAGGGTGTCAGTGCTTGCGCAGTACAGTGCTGATATATGCATTGAGCTCCTGAGCTAAAAATAAAGATCACACCGAATGCTGTGCCACTGAAAGTTGCAAGACTGAATTCAAAGTGACAAGTCTAGTTCTCTCCAGACAGAGCAATGAGGTCCCACCCTCATCACAGACAGATCCAGGAGGTATTTTGTGACATTTGTTTTTAGTATAGAGTTCTAATAAAAGCTTGTTCACAGCGCTTTTTCACATTTGATCAGGCTAAAAATGCAACATAGGAAAGCCTAAAATATTTTTGAAATACAATTCCAGTAAGGTATTTAACAGTGGTTCCCCTACAGCCTCATCGGATGAGCTCAAGTACCCCTTCATCGACAATACAGTCATGTGCTTTTGAAAGGGTATTATGCCGGGTGTTATTTAATACTGTCTATTATATAAAAGTGGTTATTGTTACATTTTTCTTACAATTGAAATCTCAATGCTTAGGTTAGTTTGGCCAAGTCTGAATTTATACTATCGGGTGTGGCAGAAACTGGACATTTCAATAATTCTTCCAATTATTATTTTTCTTTTTAGCTATTTCAATCATTTGTCTATTACATTTGGCTATTTCTGCAATCTATTACACTAAGCTAACTTTATTGTTACACTTAGCTAACTTTTTCAACAACTGATTCATTACTTTAAGCTATCTCTTATAACTATTTATGTATTACTTTTTGCTAATTGTTTATTCATTCATTTAGCTAAGTCTATGTGTTATTCTTCGCTAACTACCTAAATGATTTACTCATTACTTTTAGCTAACTATTAAAACCATATATCAATAATTTATGAACAACTCTTATGTAACACAAATTGTATTCATAACTCTAGATTTTCTGCACTCTCAATCAAATGTGGTGTCATGTTAAAATGGACTCTGGTTGGTGGGAGGTGTACGTACTGGCTTATCGTAGCTGGTAGCTTACTTGTTATTGCAAATATTAACGATTCTTAACATCAAAATCCCAAATTCCTGCTTTTTCAACTGTTTCCATGTGTCCCCAGGCAACTGCAGAAGTATGCCATGTGGTAAAAGTACCTTCGGTTCTTGGGTAAAAATTGAGTTAAACGAATTTGAAATGACACACAATTCTTTCAAATGAATTTCAATGATTTATACGCCTTTTTACAAAAGGCATATAGAATGGTTGCTTTTTTTGATAGGAAAAAAAAAAGAAGAAAGTTATCTTTGTGAGTTATGCTGGGAGTCACACCTAGGTCAGTTCAGTTTCTCTTGCTTTTCTGTTTCCCCTTTCCTGAGTCCGTCCAACGTCACTTATTTATTGTTGGAACATCTCATCACCCAAACTTCACTGAAAACCACAGTCAGACTTAACACCAATAGCACAAAAAAGGAGAGAAAGAAAAAAATCAGGGATAAAATTTTAGAGGGCAGTTTATTGAAAAACAGATTCTGTTACAGGCAAATTATTATAAAATATCTATAACCCTATGTTATTAACTGTACAAGAGAAAAATAGAATAAGAAACTAAAATACAAACAGCTCAGAATAAAGCAGATTCATTTTTTTTGCAGCCATTCCTCTATTTGAGGTCATGTACTGTCTGCCTCTCATAATAGCTGCCCTGGGAAATGTAGTCACCCACAAGACCAATCAATAGTTAAGAGAATAGCTATAGTGCATAATATATGTAAAACAAAGCATCCACAGGAAATGTTTTATTTTTTGCTGTCAGTTTGCGCACAAGTGTTTGAATAGTCTAAACAGATGACCAATAACAATACAATGTTTATATACAATCAAGTAAAATTTCACTGCAGTGTGAGTCTGAATCAAAGAACATAAGATCTAATTATATTAGCATTTGCATTGGAGAAACCTACACTATACCACTTTTTTTTAGAGAAAAATATTTTAAAAATGAAATGGACGGAAAAGGGTGGAGAGTGAAAATGTCTATGAAGGCAAAATGGCCTAATCTGAACATTATGTTGCTTTACATCCTCTTGGTCACTCGTTTGAACTGTTGAGATGTTTTATAGAAAATGGACTTGGATTTCTGAGGTTCGAGGAGGTTGAGATTTCCCTCAGAAATGCTCCTCACAACTCTCCGTGGCTTGTTCTCTGAACCTGAGTACAGACACCAAACAAGGCTTAGTATCAAGAATGAACACAACTTTGACACTGACATACCATGCTGTATTTTATATATATATATATTATTTTTTCAATCAACACTCAACAATCCATAACAACTAAGTGAAAACATGTTTTGAGACAATTTTGCAAATGTATTAAAAATCAAAAACTGAAATCCCTCATTTACAAAAGCATTCAGACCCTTAATTTGGTATTTTGTAGAAGCCCCTTTGACAGCACTTACAGCTTTGAGTCTTCTTGGTTAAGTCTAAAAGCTTTACACACCTGGATTTGGGCAGTTTATCCCATTCTTCCTGGCAGATCCTCTCAAACTCTGTCAGATTAAATGGGAAGCATCTTCAGGTCTCTCCACAGAAGTTCTGAGACTTGTCTTGAAGCCACTCCAGCTTTGTATTGGCTTTATGCTTCGGGTCATTGTCGTACTCAATGGTGAATCGTTGTGTACACTTTGGAGCAGGTTTTTCCAAGGACCATGCTTTATGTGGCTCTTTTTCATCTGACCACTCTAACTGTCCCTGCTGCGGAGAAGCACGCCTATAGCTCAATGCTGCCACCACCATGCTTCCCTGTAGGGATGGTATTAGCCAAGTGATGAGCAGTGCCTCGTGTTCACCAGAAACAGTGCTTGTTGTTCTGCCCAAGGGGTCAAATTTTGTTACATCAGATCAGACAATCTTTTGCCTCATGCTCTCAAGAGTCCTTTAAATGCTGTTCAAGTAAAAGGCATATGACAGCCTGCTTGGATTTTGCCAAAGTGGTGTCTATCTAGACATCTAAAGACATGATTTAGGGAGCGCTGTTGAGATGGTGGACTGTCCGGCAGGTCCTCCCATCTCTGCAGAAGACTTCTGAAGCTCTGTTAGAGTTAGGGCTCTACGCTCATTTTTGCACAGAGCACTTGTGTGCCTACACTAAAAAAAGGAGTTCATAAAGAACTTTAAGGGTGCAATGAGAATTGATCAAATAGGGTGTTTTTCCCCAATAAAGGGATATGAGGAGACATTAACAAGCAAAAATATTAAATTTATTTGAATACAAAAAGTACTTGAGGTTTTTAAATTATTTCTTTCTGTATTTAGTCTACTTAATAATTATGTATTTATGACAGTCATCACGATGTTGATACTGAACAAATGTTTAAGGTCATGGTTCAGAAATACAAAGTCTATAAGCTTAAGTTACTGATATGATGTGAAAGAAAGTTTTTTTTGTTTGTTTTTTATTCACACATGGCGGTCCTAAATACATTTTTCAGTTTGCATCTATTTTTAGTTGTATTTGCAATGTGAGTGAAATGCTGGCACTGTACAGCCATGACAGTTGAGTTCTTGGTCACTTCCCTGACCAAGGCCTTTCATGCCAGGTCACTCAGTTTGGTTGGACAGCCAAATCTAGGAAAAGTCCCTAATTTTATAACCTTGCCTTGATCTATCGAGACAGAAATCTTTCACAGAGCTCTACAGAGAGTTCCTTGGACTTCATGTTTTGGTTTTTGTCCCAAAACAATGTGTTGCTTGTGGGACCTTATATACACAGGTGTGTGATTTTCTAAACTATGCACAGTTGTTTCAGATTGCCACAGGTGAACTTGAATCAAGTTCTACACACATCTCAAAGATAATTAAAGCAAACAGGATGCATGTGGGCACAATATGGAGTGCCACAGCAAAGGGTCTGAAAACTTCTGTCAATCCAGATTTCAGTTTTTGATTTTTAATAAATCTGCAAAAATTTCTAAAACCATGTTTTCACTTTCTCATTACGGATTATTGAGTGTAGATTAAAGAGCAAAAATGGCAGTTTCATCCATTCACATCATTCCCACAGCTAGCTTTGTATCTCATGTACTCATTCACAAAGTGATAAAGTGAAAAGCATGCCCCACATGGAGCAGGTGCAATTTGAATGTTTGAATTTGAATTTAATCAAAGGCATACAAAACAAAATCATTATGGTTGTGCTTAAAATAATAAAAACAATATTCAGTGTACGTGTGTACTCTTGATGATGACACTGCAGTGTCAATTATGATGACTATGTAGGTAATTTGTATTTAGTGTGTGGATGTATTCTTAGGCAGTTTTTTTTTTGTGTCCACACTTACCAGCAAACCGATGCACTCTGAGTGGTCTCTGGGCCACGGAGGGGTCTTTCTTTATACGCTTTGGTGCAGAGAGACCCTGTGTTAACTCTTCTCTGATGCTGCTAAAGTGAAACAGAAACGAGGAAACAGACAGGGAATAATAGAAAAATAGAAAGAGTAATCAAACATTAACCAACGTGAAAAGTCCACTGCAACTATATTAAATAAGATGATTTACATGAATATAAGAGAAAAGGCAGCGGCACATTACCGATTAAATTTACGCTTTCCTTGTGCAGCAGATGTCATGTCCATGTAGGTAGGATTGGCTCGTCTCACTTCTTGTAAAGACGGGATCTGTTGTCTACAGAGCAAAGGTTCATGTTACCGTGACATCTCCACAGTTTGGATGTCACACAGGAATTAGAAACATTTCCCTTTGTATTCAAATTCAGATGAGTACGTATCACTACTTCCTCAGATAATTTTGAAACTGGCGCTTCCAGTTATAAAATGAGTGAATCAGTGTTTTAGATTTGGGTGTTCCTCTTCTTGTGTTCCTAAATACACTTGCATGTTTCAGATTTTACCACTCCCAGCTCATGCAAGGGTGGATTTAGCATTAAGTTATATTAGACATCTTTTAAGCCTTTATAATCAGTGTGGAGCTTTAAATCCTCTAGCAGGTCCATACTTGTTGATCTCAGATTTAAATTAACAAGCACATAATTGTGGATAAATTCAAGCACCAAAGCCAATCCCAAAATGAGCACAGTACAGAACCAACATTTTGGAAACTGACCATGTGACCGAGTTGCTGGTGCCATCAAAAACATAATGATGGGAAGAAATCATCCTGGTGAAATCGGTATCACCTTTAATGTTATTGACCATAACCTGGAATTAGGCATATGCAATTAACATTTTACCTATTACTTAGCCAGGTCTCTACATTTGTTATATTGGAGTTGCTGTTTTTTTTTTTTTCCTTCCTTTTCCATTTCTCCCGAACACGACACTTTTAAACTTTTCTCTCTCTAGTGTCCTTGTCTGCTACACTTTGCATGAACCCTGCCTAGGGAACTGCCACTCATCCACATTGCAGCTCCAAAAAGGTATTTTCTACAGTTGCCAGGGTAAATGAATGCACCAAGCTTCTTGAAGTCATTGAGTCTCTTACTCTAAATTTGCTTCCATCTTTACACTGTTAGCACCATCTACAATGGCCTATATATTGGTCTAAATATTTACAAAAGGTAGTGCTTTTTCTTGCTATCTAAATGCAACAGTTTCCCTTTGAGATTTGGCTTGTCCGTTGCAGACCAACTTAGTTACTAGGTGCTAAGTGCTCCCATAAAGTCTGGATTAGCCTTGAGCTTTAGTATTTGAGGAAAAACAACTTCTACATATTTGAGTGGTAGCATAGATGTTTTCAAGCGATTTGATTTGTCTCTCTATATATATATATATATATATATATATCTCATTTTGACATTGGTTAATGACATATTTGTCCAACAAATAAAATGATACACACTTAACATGCCAATGTGAAGGCTCCTCTGCTCGGAGCTTTCTAAAACAAATCCTTTCTGCTGCTATAGTTTGAAATGTGTCCTATTTTGTTGGCCACTTCTAGCTGAAGACACCAAGGACCTGCTCAGCTGACTTAAGCCTCTTGGCCCAATGTTCCAGTCTGGAAACATTCTGCTGGTGAGAATACTTATACTATTTGCACTCTAGTCTCCGTCTTGTTTTGAATAATGTTTGGGGGATTTACCACCTTTGAATGGTCTAGTCACCATAGACATCTTTCACACAGTTGCTTTGAAACTTTCAGTGGACAGCCAAAGACATGTTTTTTTAAAATCATTTTTAAACTTGGAACGGAACTGATTCAATAAACAAAGTTAAAGGTGAATTTGTTTGTTTTATTATTATTATTTTCCCCCAATTTTCTATTGATACCCCGGTAGTATAGTTATTATGACTTTTTGGCCATGATAATCATGGGAGTTAAAATCTGATATTGTGACAGCCCTAATGCTGACATTATTCATTGGTATAGTTCTGCATCTCTTTGATAAGGGGTCATCTTAAAAGTGCATGTTTTTTTCTTTTGGTAAGCAGGAGGCAAGAAAGTGCAACAAATGGTTCTGATACATTGTGCCAGGTGTTGAAGTTTTTCCCTCTCAATTTGACTGATAAAATGTATGTCTGCAGTTAGATTGTGATGTTATATGACTTTTGGTTTCTAACCTTTTGGTAGGTATCTGGTTCCCCTCATTGGCCTTGGGAGGTTGGAGTGGTTGGCTGTAACCCGAGAAGTCTATGGACTTTGATGCTTGACAGGGACTACCACTGCTTATTATGATGGTTGCATTACTTGCAGTTTGATCATCATTGTCCAGAACTTCAAAGGTCATGTTAGGATCCATGGCGCTGGTGGAGCTCAGCGGCAGGGCCTGAACAGTTTTTTGAGCAGGTTCTGGTGTGCACTGGAGTGGGAATACGTCGTCCTCAAACACTTGGGCCCTGGCGACGGTCTGGGGGCTTTGCGGTGGCAGTGATGCAGACAGATTTCTCCTGAAGGGCATTCTGGGACATGGTTCCTGTTTCATATCTGTCTGATTTCTTCCACCTGAAAATCCAAACCATCAATAACAGTTAAATCAAAGCAGCAATGAAATTAACTCAAGCTAACTGACAATGCACATTAATAAAAAGCCCATGAAGCCCAATCAGCTCCTTTCTATGAGTGATGGGTTCCAACATGAACATAAAAAAAAATTCTGGCAAAAATTATAACAGTTTTGGTCATTTTACATTAGAGATTTCTATATTTGTGTCCCTGGCACTGTCAGTCAATGCTGATAAAAACACCCACACAGTGCTGTTGAAGCAGACTGAAATTTTGACTGTTATCTTTAGGTCAGAACATTTTGCAGTGTCATCCATCATGAGGTTTGCAGGAAGACAGCAGGCCCACATGTGTAAACACATGGAAAGGTTGTGCCACTTGCACTGACTTGATACACAATTAACAACTAAATTTGCATTTGACAATCACTGTTTGGTTGACGGTTTGGTCATCAGTTGTCAGACTATATGCAAGACTTTGGCTTATCTCATTTTTTGTGCTTGAGAAGCAATTAACAAATCATAATGTTACATTATTTCAAACAAGCCGTCTTTGAAATGTATTTATCAATGAATTGTTTATAACTAAAGGCCTTGAAAGTGAAAGCAAATTAAATCACTATAAAATATAAGCAGGGCAACAGTAAATCATCGCTCTCCAAATTATACCGTCCCCTGTACTCAATCAGTATTCTGTAATAAGCGCTGAAGTGCCAGCCTTAGGCTACACGGTGCAATTTAAACTAAAATTCCCGCCTTGCAGTTGTATGCCTCTGCCAAAGAGCTAAATTGCAGGAAATATGGTCACAATCTCCCCATCCTGAGTTGCAGCGTTGAATAATGGCCAGAAATGTTTTTGCAAAACATTATGATGTCACCGTGAAGTTGACCTTTTGGATATAAAAAATCATCACTTCCTCATTTCACCCTATTAAACATTCGTGTTTAAGTGCGTCACAACCTTGACCTTTGACCACCAAAATTTAATAAGTTCATCCTTGAGTCCAACTGAACGTTTGTACCAAATTCCATGAAATTCCCTCAAGGCGTTACTGAGATATCATGTTCACAAGAATGGGAAGGACGGACAACCCAAAAACATAATGTCCCTTGCCCTGGCTATCACCAGCTGTGTTAACCATAAGGTTAACACAGCTGAAATAAGGTCTGTGGTTAACACTTGATCAAGACATTTTCACTTTTTTTCTACGACATAAAATACGTCAGTAAATACCCCAATCGTGATTTCTTTGAGCTTTTACATCTCCTAAAAAAGGCCGGTTGACAGCTAACAAGACAACAAGTGGCCAAATGAGACTACAGAAGTTTACAGGGATGTTAAATGTCATCACACTGTATACGAAAACTGATCTAGTCACCAATCCATCTAGCATCGTTGTGCTCGTGCTTTTGCAAACTATTACTAACTTTGTAAGAGGAAATGCTTTTGTAGAAGAAGAGGTAAGCATGCTAACTCCAGCTTTTTACTTCTCTCAATTGTATTTAGGCGTCAAAAATCACACATACTGTAGCGAGATAGCAGTCGAATATCAACTAATCTATCGCATGACAGACAGCTAGCGCAAGCAGATAGTAAATGAATCCAAATAGAATATTGATTGGTTGAACTTGCATTAATTAGAGGTAATTATTTCAAGAAAGAATATTCCTAAAAGGACTAAAATGGTAATTTCATTTTTAAAACAGCTGTAATAAAATGCGAAGTTTACACAGAATACTTCTTGCATTTAGATTAATGCTGAATTATAAAATAAAAATATTTATATATATACTATGTTTAGCCTGAGTGATTATGAACGTGTCTGGTTCTCTCAGCACTATTAATTTGAAACACTAAAACTGAAGCAGTAAAATATATATATGTAATGATACATTTACATACTGATTGGTATGTGAAATTTTATTCAGTATATTTTTCACACTATCCATCTTAATTTTAAAAAATGACAGCAACAAAAACTTGTACAGCAGAACAGAATGGGGTTGAATCACAGTGTCTGCATCACATTAGGATCTCATTACACTCGTGGCATTTCCTGCTCAGGTGTGGTGGGGGTTATTGAGGGGGCTAAAAAGGAAAAATGCCAGCACATAAAGGAAGTGAGAACACTTAATACAAAGGTGAATGACTGATTTAAACATTACCCTAAATATCCAAATGCAATATTTAGAAAATGTGAGTCAGACTTCAGACAGCACATCAAGTGAGAAGACGGTGATAAATAGCCTTTTTCTGTGGCAGAGGAGTTGTTCCCAGCAATAAATGGCAGCAGAGTTCCTTCAATCACATATTTTTGGCTTGTAGGGGATTAATACATGCATGAGTTGCTATTTCTGGTGGAGGCTGCACTGAATTAGGGTCGCCTGGTTGCTGCTGCCTGTTTTTTATAGTGCGCCTTTTCTGGTTGGTGGAGCAGGGGAGTTTACGTCTGTTGACGTTTTTTCCTGCCCTGCTGTGGATCTGCATTTTCATGAATGAAGCTCAAGAGGGATTGGGAGGGTTAGATGCTAGACACAAAGAAAAACATTTGAGGATAGGAGGGAAAGAAAAGTAGAATGAAGGAAAAAGCCAGACTAACAGACGTTTGAAGCAAAAGGCACAGCAAAAATCCAGGGAGGAAAAAATAGAGAAGAGAGAAGTGAGGGGTGGAAGATCGAATAGGATATAAAAAGAACAGCATAGCGGGGGCAGTGGGAGAAAGCTGAATGAAAAATCGTGAAGCTATTTATAAATGCATGTGTGGAAATGTTATAATCAACAGTGAGTTGTGGGATGGAGAAATGTTCCTTCAAAGAGATCACTTTTGTGTGATTTGCTATTATTAAGCAGTCCACAAAGAGTTAATGTACTTTCAAAACCCCAACCCTTTCTAAAACCGATGAAATTTGATTGGCTTTGCAAGCTGCAGGGTGGAGCTATTTCTCATAACATGCTGCAGTGACTACCATTAAGAGCTGAGGAAGCAGTAAGGGACTGACAAACAGCATCAGGATAAGATCAGAGCAGTTTCTCTGAAATGCTAAATAAAAGCCTTATTTATTAAAACATCTGTCATTTCAACTCTATATAATTTGGACTTTGTCAGCAATTGACCAGTCATTTAGCATATCCAATACTGCTGCACAACATGCACAAAGCTGTACCTAAGGCTGGTAGCTCTAGACTGAAATTAAGATGGACAGTGTGGTTTTAAAGGATGCAGGTGTGAGTCAGTGAATGCATGACTGAAGAGGATGTACAAAGTTATGATTTTATTAGAGAGATCAAACTGTGGCTGAACGTTCCCAATAATGGGAAAACAGCAACGATAGTTATTTAAAGGCTGAATAAATTATATTGATCATCACTATATACTAATTCAATATGAAGCTATTGTTAAGGCTCTCAAATTCTTGCATGTATGGTGCATGAAAATAGGATGCATGCCTAGACAAATAAATTATTTGATAAGGTGCTGCTGCAGGATGAGCTATGATGATTAACCAATCACAATGCATTTTTATGTATATATTATTGACAAAAGATTTACATATATCTCTTTGCACTAGGCACATTTAGCTATGATATGTACACCTGTCCACTGCTGTTAAATATTATCATTTAACATATTATTTTTATGCCCTTGATTAATTTTGTTCTTAATAACAGGGATTAATGTAAGTACTATTGTATTAGTGGAAAGAAAAAATGATTCATTAGCATTTTTCAAATACCAAATCCAACTAATGTTGTATTGTAGGTGTGTCAAACTGTACATTAAATTTAATGAAGGCACAGTTTGGCCATTTAAGTTTTTTTTCTTTCTTACTTTTTTTTTTTTTTTTTTTTAAACGTCTTCATAGTATTACAGTTAGAATGTGTGCAGGTGTGAATAGTTGACCATAGATGTATTGGCAAAGAAAAGCACAGTTATGGCAACACTAAATGACCAAGTGGAAAAAACAATAAAACAATTGGCTTGACTCGTAGGATATAATGATGGGTCAAACGGACAGACCATACAGGAAGTAGGGCTTTTCATATCAGAAAAACTTCCAAAACTAAATACTCTATCAGAATTCACCTACTATAATAAGTTCCTGTGAAATTTAATAGCAGTGGCGACAAACTCCCTGGTGCGTTCATATTTAATTTCCATTCAAAGAGCTCTGGTCATCTGGAAGAAGTATTTTCTTCAAAAGTTAAATTTCCCACAATATGTTTCAATGAAATGTAGACCACCTGCAGTAAATATCATTACAGCCAATTTAAACTGCAATATTTCACAAAGGTTTTTGTGTTACATTTCCCCAAAGGTTCCTGGTGTACTGTTTTCCCTCTATAAAACCGGTTGTGAGTATTCACGTCATTTTATTATTCAAGTTTTGGCTGGGATAGAATGTCAGCAGCACAACTATAAATCTAATTATATTACATGTCTGATTTTTATTGTGCATTTTACTACTCTGAACAAGTTCTTTTTAGCTAAAATGCAACAAACATGTTCAGCAAACAAAAAGAAACATGGCAAAGTGAAAGTCTGGGCATACAAAGAACAACTTCAAATTCATATGTCACATTAAAAACAAATTTATGATCTCTGTGTTCTGCCTCAATAAAACATAGCATTGTCTCTTGAAGTGGGTTTGCGTAAGTGTGATGGATTGAGTGAAAGGTGACAAGGAGAGAGCAAAAAGGTGAATAACTGAGGGGTGGGAGGGATTACCATGGATGCAGGGGTTTTAGATTAATGACTACAGTATGTGAGCAAGACAGGGGAGAGAGGAGAGCAGATTTACCTTTTGGTGATGAAACAGCTTTGCACAATGACGTTCTTTTTGTGTGGCCCTCTGCACCTGAGAATTAAAAAAATCATAAAGAGATTCAAGTAGAAGGAACATCAACACATCATCACAATTACAACAACACAGAAAGCTAGAAAAGCTTCAGCAGCCCTTATTATGTGGTTTTCTGTCATTGTAAATGTTACATTATCACTTAAGGTCTACAGGGTGATACCTTACTCTTTTGCTTTTACTTGTTTGATTGGAGATTTAAAGTCATTCAACAGTATTCACTTAACATTTTATTAAATGTAAAGAATTACTAAGGTAAAACAATTCCCAACACTTAAAATGGCTATGATTTAAGTGCTTTTCATTGTGCAGACTGTAGAGACATTCAGTCAGCTAAACAAATTATGTAATTTCTTACGGAAAAGTCAACATGACTTTTGTGAAATGTTCAAGAAAATGAAATCTCAAGCAAAAGCCAAAGCATGATGCAACATGGCATAGATGTGAAGTCAGAAGAAACAGTTCACAGTTTCATTCATAATGAATTCCCAAAACACTGAGTCAACCTGGAGTGTTTTGGGTCTTATAAAAACATCTTGCAATCTTTTAAACTTTGACCCAGAGGAGGCTGACGCTAATATCTACATTCTGGGGTCATCAAATTCTTTGTATCACTGACAATGAATTTAATTGAAATTCAACAAAAAACACTTTCAAACAGGTACTAATTGAGATATAATCTGAAACAAACCAGCTGTGGAAGAGGCACAGCTGCAGAGTTTACAGCCTGACAAATGACAGACACCATCATAGTAATTAAGTATTGTTGGCCAGCTTTGGTTCATGCTCCACTGTCTGTCATGGCTTATATGTCATGAGGGACTGGTGCTGCTAGGTCATGCAGAGATGACAGTTAAAAATGAACTGTGCAATCTCATGGGTCGTACAGAACTGGACTAATGCCAAATACACTGGGCCTTATTAAGTTACCTGACTAATATATTTCAAACAATCAAAAAACTGATCTTATATCTGGGCATCATATGTGTATACTTGCCTTTAATCTCATATGTTAACCTGCTACATAATGTTTGTATTGTTGTTGTTTGTAGAGAATTAAACGTCAGTTGAATAATATGACAGGAGTAGATTAAGCTTTGGTTTGGTAACCTCTTACAGATCCTGCTTTATACATGTTAAATGTGGCCACAGTTAACTTTGTGTGTTGTCCAGTAAAGTCAAATCTGATTGATGGCTGATGTGTGACTGTCAAATTAGTGTTGGCTAATATTTGCTAAATTGCAGTTTGTTGTCCCTGATGGCTGAAGTCAAATCCAAGTGACCATATCTAAATTAAACACTTAGTGGGTTATTTTAAAAACATTAGGTTGCTATCAGCTAAGATTCTGGATATCAGAGGGATGAATGGCAGAGTGACATTTTTTGGGTTGATGGGTTGACAAAGATTCATTCAGAACTTAAATTGTTCTAGCTTCTTAAATGTGACCATTTCCTGATTTTTTTTTTTTTTTTTTTAATATGATTATAAATTGAACACTTTTCAAGTTTTAGACTGTTGGTCAGACAATACTGTAAATGCTCATAATTTGCCACACCTAAATTTGCAAGCATTCACTAGTTTTGTAATTTATCCTAAACAAACCATCTAAATGTATGCTGAATAAACAAAAACAGAAAACAATGATGATAATAGTATGATAACTTACTGCAGGGGCTACTCTGGTGGTATAGCAAATGTGAGAAAGTCAGGACAGGTGCTAACTCGCCGTGGAGCCCGATGTTTCCCGTCTCATTTGTCTTCTGTGATTCCACTCCAGTCCCTTCACCTTTAAGTTGCTGCCCCACCTCCTCCTGGTCTGCCCAAACGACGCCTCTCTCTCTCAACACAAGGTGCTCTAGTTCATGGTTCTCCATCTCATCTGCTGCTGTGACAAGCCCAGCTCCACGCAATGCACAGTAGTGTCGACTATATGCTGGCAACAAGATGTTTACCATTCTGAAATGTAATAGAAAAATTACATTTAGATGTTTTGCTGGGTTTGAGTGAGGTGAAGTACAGGTTCTTCAGTTGCAATGAGTAATAATTTAATTTTAGGTATTGTCAACCTACTTCTGCATGCGCTTGTTCTCCTGATCCTGCAGTGTGGTGAGCTTGACCATCTGATTGATGTGTTGTTGGAGATCATTTACCTGCAGCTGCAGTCTGTGGCAAAATAGGTCCTTCTCTAACACCTGAACAAGTGGGAGAAGCGAGGTCAGAGAGCAGAAATGATAGCCTTTAACATATCAGCATATTGAATTAGCACTCTAGTGGGCAGAATTAGAAGAAACAAAAGGTGGTTAGGGGTCAGTATAGTAGAGATAAGATACAAAGTTCTGTTTTCATCACTGTTTCATCAGCTGTCTGCTCAGGGTAAGGGAGGGGAGAAAAGAAAAAAAACACTCTGACGTAAAGAAACTATGAAACAACAGCAGAGAGAACATTTGACCGGTGGGTGCGTCATAGTTCTGGGTCAGTTCCTGGAAGAAAGGATAAAGAAGAAAAAAATAACATGGACATGGTTTTAGGTAACTGGCTGCTGTGTGAGGGATGAGTAAAGGGTATTGATTTATTCTCTTCAGTGATCCACGAGTGAGCTGAAGAAATAAAATGAGCACGGTTCTAATTACTGGGAGAACAGATGGGAAGAAAACAAAGACTGTCACGACACCGGTGGAGGCACAGCCTACCTTCCAAAATAAACAAACAAACAAACAAACAAAATAAATAAATAAAATAAATAAAAACTAAATACAATTACAAGCAATGAGTTTTTATGGATGTAACCATGTTATAAAGTTTTTCTCTATATTTAATCATGCTCAATTCTTACTTTAACTCTGTACATTAAAATTGTCATGTTTTACTCACTGTTTGCCTCTACTGTTGTATGACACGAATTTATCTACTTCAACAATGTCAGTGCAAAGTGTTGCGGGAATTTGTGCAAACATGGCTACAACAATTTCAATTAGGCAAAATCATCAAGAATGACAATAGAATTTTATATATATATATATATATATATAATATTATATTCTAATATATGGATTATCTATTATATATATATCTATATATCTATTAAATAATATAGATCAGTATACTATTATATATATATACTATAATTGATTTCTACACTGGCAGTTGTACAAACGTTAAGACAGTCGCTATTTACTATCAATTTACAAAATGTGTCTGTCAAAACAAAAAATGCAAAATTTTCAGACAATTGCACTGTATTTCAACACTGATTAATGTGAAATGGTCAGTAAGTTCTACTTACCTCTGAAGTCTGATCATTTGACTTCAGCAGCTTCATCTCATTCTCAACACGATGAAGCCAGCCGTCATTGTCCAAGAAATGTGTTTCTGCCTCCTTCAAACGTTTACAAATGTGTTGCTGCTGAGTACGTAAGCTGGCAGTCTTCCGCTCATGCTTACAAGTAGCCTATTGAAAGCAATAACAAAAGGTCATATAGGTGATATTGTGAATCAGCTATTGTTTGTGCTAGTATTAGTAATGCATATTATTAACTGTATATGTGATCTAAATAACAGTAATTATAGATGCAAAACGCAACATGACAACCAGTCTAGCAATATCGATTAATTTAAATTCTTTTGTGTTTGTTAAGAATTCATTGTTGGAGAGGTAAGCTTGAAACAATTTATCTCAAGATTCAGGATTTCAGATAAACATTTTAAAATGCAGGCAGATTTAGCACCGCTCTCAGGAAAATTACTCCCACACTTAGTTTGTTTTTGGGTAAGGTTGGACCATTCTGCAAAGTTTGGTACCAAAATTCCTGAGAATTCACTTTTTATACTTTAAATTGCATAGGGACTAACACTCAAATAGCAGAGAAGAGCCAGGAACTGGGGAGCAGTGACCCTGTCCTTTAGTGGCGTAAATGAGAGGCTAAGACAACTATGGAGAACAGAGAGGTGAAACGATGACTCAGCAGCTGTTTTTCTGCGGGGATGGTGGAATCTGTGGATAGCAGTGTAAGCATCAGCTACCTTCTCAGTCTTTTCTTTGGCACAGAAATATTGGATCTGCAGGTTGTCCTCCTCACTGTAGCGCTGGCGCAGCTCATTCTCCTTCAATTGTCTCTCCAGATCCAGCTGTTCTCTCCTGATTTCGGCCCGACTCGAGAAGATTCGCTGCAGAGCTTCTGATACCCTAGAGAGAGAGTGAGCGAGAGAGGGAGAAAAGAGTGATGTTCAAATGTTACAAGATTTGCCTTATAAAAGGCTGCATTAGGAAATTTGAACCTAAAAGAAAATTAATATCAAACTTTTCAAGTAATATAAATGGTCTCAAAATCACTTTGGCTATTTATTTTCATAAAATCAATAAGCATGTTATTGCAGTCCCAACCTTTTTACAGTTAAATGAACAATCTATGATTTAAATGTGGGCCAAACTGTCACAAAACAACTATGTAAATATATTTCTAATTCTTATGGTTAAAAGACTCACTTTTTGCTTGTGCTGTCAGAGAGGCAGTCATTCAACTCTGGTCATTTTTGAGGCTGTAGTCATGTTGTTTTGGTCTGTATTATACTGAAAGGTTTTCTTTTGTTATGTCCACTCTGATTCACGTACATGAGGGGGACACAATATTAGAAACACCTTTTAGTATAATGCAATCCAATAAAACATCACCATCACCACAGGGATTCAAGCCAGATGTGATTAGAAGATCCCGTGCCACATGTAAGGAGCAAATTTAATTTATTGCTGTGCCAAGAGCTCTTAGAACCCACTTATTCAAGTTCAAGTATTTAACACTTCCTAAAAAGATAGTGAGATATTTAATAGTTTTATCAACACATTTCAACCAGTTTAAAAACATTTAAATACAGTAATACAACTAATTATGATGATGTAAAAGTATACCAATTAATTACATCAAATGTTTGCATGACTAATATTATTTACCAAAATGAATTAATGATGCTTTTAGGGTCGAGTCAATTATTAAATCAGGCTGTTAATATAATCTAGAGCTTCCACAAAATGCCTATTCTGTTTCAATTGAGCTAGAAAGATATTCTTAGCTATATGATGTATACATGTATTCCTGGAACAGAATTGAGGTGATATCCAGATTGAATGCAAGTGGCTGTCTAGTTGAGTTAAAGCAGGAGGAGAGACAGAAAAGGCATGCAGGTAAATAAGACTGGAGAGCTGTCGCTGAGATGTGACTGCACTCTTCAATGTAACTCCAGTGACGTAGGAGACGTCGTGGCCTTGCTAGACTGCTGAATTTTTAATAGTGTGAGAAGCGTGCAGCCTCTATTCAGAGCCGCTCACTGTGCGAGTTGTGAATTCTGATGCCAGTGAATGAAATGTGTGGGAGTGAGACTCATTCAGCTTTTCTGTGTCCCCCGCCCCCAACCCAAATACCCCGACAGATGCCACTGTATGCCTTCAAGATGACTAGACGGGATATGATTGATCTGATTTATGTAGAAGAAATAAATGCGTATATATCATTTGAATTAAAAAAAATGGCGCTACACAGCTGTCATTATCAAAATGAAAACTCCACATCTAAAAGAAAAAAAAAAAAAATCTGATAGTTAAGATACTGTTGATTATATCAGTTTTATCAAGAACTAGTATACCTTTATACACACGTGCCTACTGTATATTTATGGCAGATTAAAAAAAAAAAATTAAAATGGGGATGCTCTAACTTTAATTGGCATTTTCCCCCCCCAATCACAAAACTGCCAACACCATCGGCTTTTCAGCCTAATCCTTGAGCCTCAAAGCACATCTGGTTTTTAATCCAAGAAGTAAAACAGCCCCTGATTAGATAGCTAGATTGAAAAACAGCAGTGCTCAGCCGAGAGTAATGTTTGAAGTGTGTCATCCTGTTTCAATTAAAGACAAATAAAATGTATCCATAGACTAGGACTGGATAAATATATAGATTTTACGATTAGCCGTAATTTTCATTTTAATGATTTCATATTACTTCTTACAATCCAGAGATGGATCTTTTATTTTGTGGAAATCAAGTTATTACAAAGTGCAAAAAAGGTTAAGCTAAAAAGAAATTTAGATGATAGCTGGCCACCTTGAGTCATGGCAGTCTCATAAATTGTGACGTGAATAAATAGTCAATGAGAACCGCTGCAGTTTACAGGAATCTAGAGATGGCATCTAAGACACAGATAGACACTGGTAGCCGGGTAGCTAATACTAGCTAACCAGCTGTCTGCAGATATCAGGCTGATGTGTTGTCAACACAAACAGTGCAGATGAATTAGTGGGCAGACTTTCAGTTTCTGCCCAGTCTGTGCTCAAAGTGATAATTAAAGTGGACGTGCTGTACTCAGTTGAAGCATCTGATACTGACAGTCCATGTTTAGCTGTACAACATATGCAGAATGATGATGCTTTTGTAAGTGTTGAAGGTTTTTTATACAAATATATGCCTAAAAAGTATTGATGGACCATGTTTTTGTCATTTTGCAGTTTCCAAAGAAAATAATTTTTTTTCTATGACTGTAAAATATGTTTATAATTGAGTCTATAATGTGCACTCTACACAATTTCATCTTAAAGAAACAACAGTTTTGCACACTTGTAGAATGCAGAAGAAATGTGAGCTCCCAGGATAAATTCTGAGAAGCCTTTCATGCAACATTGGTATTTATCTGATGTAACTGAATCAAGTACTGAATCAAATTAAGATTATTTCTGGACTTTGTGAATTGAAAACAAACAAGGAGATCAGCAGCGATATCCAGCCCTAACATGGACATGGCAGTAATGTACATACAAATGTACAACAAAAAGGAAAAGGAAGAAGAAAAGTTACTTATTTTGAATTTAAAGCTAGAGTACTGCTCCGTGACCTTAATTTGTCTGTAAATTCAATTAATTACTGACACACTGTTTATCAATATTTTCCATAAGCGGCTGCTCTGTACAGGTCCATTGCGTCTAGTACATATCAGGAGAAAATGTGGAAAAAAAGTCCACATTGGTGAAATACCAATGTTATGGAGAGAAAGGCAGTTTAATTTGACAGAAAGATGAGAATGCTGAAAAACAATTGTGATGAGTTTTTTGATTGACCAGACTTTTGTTATACCCGCTGGTCCATTAGGTCATCACTGAAGATGCATGGTTTTCCAGGAAGTAACAGTTTTCCAGGAGGTTCAAGTACCCATTTCATGGGAGTAACACATACAACTTGTAACACAAACAATCAGGTAAATTAAGGATGGTGTGAGCTGATTTCCACAAGGTATGGGAACTGATCAAGGCTTTTATTAGCAATTTAGCAGCATTTGTACTTGTACTACTTCCAGTATACTCTGGGTAGGTCAGCTGTCAAAAACTCCACTAATGCACTGTGTTGTCAGTGTGTGCGCATGGCAGCACAAACAAATAAATGAACAGCACCTGGCATTTTCAACTAATGATATCTACAGTGACACTGTGTTACTGATCAAAGCATGCAGAACTCCTTTGGCTTTATATATATATATATATATATATATATATATATATGGTGAATTGGTATGTAATAGGAACTAACACAGGTGTTGCACCAGACTGTCGTGAGCTCTGGGTACCGACCAAAGGAACAAGATCACGGACACAAAAAGCCAAAATGAGTTTTCTTCACAGGGTGCTTAAGCCCCTCAGGGGCAGGGTGAGGGGTTCAAACATCCAGAAAGACACTGAAGTAGAACCACTGGTCCTTTACATTGAAAGGAATCAGTTGAGGAGGTTGGGGTATCTGATTAGGATTCGACATGGACGCCTCCCTGGGGAGATATTTCAGGCACGTCCAGCTGGGAGGAGACCCAGAGGCAGACCCACAGTACACGGGAGGGATTATATATCCCAATTGGCCTGGGAATGCCTTGGGGACCCCCAGGAAGAGATGGAAAAATTGTGTAGCTACTTTGATTAGTCTGCTACAACAATGACCTACACTTGGACAGGTGTAAGAAAATTCACTGGTTGTCAAATGATAGGTTGTCACAACAACAACTACATAAAACTACATGACTGTTAAAGGGAAACTGAGATATGAGTGTTTTTAGTATTCAAATGCATCTTATCTAAATTGAACTGGCTTTATTTTAAGTCAATACTCTAAATATATGTACAGTGGGGTCCAAAAGTCTGAGAGCACTTTCCGGTTGAAGTTAATGGAAAAGTGGTCTCAGACTTTTTGACCCCATTGTATATGTATATATGTGTGAAGAATTGCACAATCAATGTCTACACAAAACAGCAGGTTTATGCCTGTTACCTCATCTCTCTTAAGCCATATGTTTAACTAAAAACACTGAATTAAGCCATGTTTGATATAAACACTGAATTAAACTCAAAGACAGCTAGCCAATATAATCTAAAAGTGATGCTAGTTCTGCTGATCCCACCGAGAATCAACACTACAGACCCCAGTTCTACCCATTTTTCAATAGTTTAAATCAAATGATTTGGGCTGCACTGGTTGATTCAAAAGAGCTCTCTCAAACATGCCACAGAAAAGTACTGACTGCTACCATCAGCATATAAACTCACGTATGTCTTAATGTGAAAGTAGGTAGTTATTAACCAATACGCTTGCTATAGGGACTAGCTCAGCTGATATAGCAAAATAAAATTGATAAAACCCCATTGCTAAATTGGAATATTTCATGCACCAATAAATGGCAATAAATAAATAGATAAAGACATATAATTTTTGGTTTTGAAATATCATTCTTGATTCTACAACCTAGACCAGCATGCCTAATTATACTTTACGCCACTTGATCTACTTCATTATAAATTATAATGGATCTAAAGCAATAGTATCACTTGTAAAAACCACTGGTCTCATGGATTTATCATCACTGTGTAATATGCTTGCAAATGCAGGTCTGTCTGCCTGCAATCAGTGCCTGTATTCCAATTACAATGTTAACGATTAAAAGGATTTATGACACATAAAGAGGCAACTACTGTTATGTGTTGGATTACACACTGAATCACACTCATGTGCATGCTTACCTTTTGAACTCTGCTTGTTTCTGGGAAGAGTTAATGTTAGAAGTCCCAAGCACCATGTTCTTCTCCTCATATTCCTTTAGTTTCTGCTTCAACTGTAGAATCTTTAGAAATGCAATAGAACATTTGAATAAATGTCAGAAAAGAATTTTAAGTATGACAATTTTCCAGGAGATTTTCTGGAATTTTTTTTTTTTTTTTTTTTACTCAGCACGGTAGTGTTGGTTGTTTCATGTTACCTCTTGCCGTTGCTTCTCACATATCACTGCGTACTGGCCAATGTGACTGTCCAGGCTTACAACATTACTCTTCAGCTGATAGGTAAGGGTAGAGAGAAAAGTGTAATGATTTAAAAGGAATTCATACATTTATAGTGTGAGAATCACAGCAGTTATTTTGCAATTAACAGTTATAAAGCAATATGAAAAATTTTAATACGAACCGAGGACTTAATCTCTTTGGCCCTGTTGGCATATTTAAGTGTGTTGTGGGTGTCATCATATGACTTGGATGAGGGGCTAACGTTGGCAATCATGACCGTCCTGCAGTTGCCTCCCAAGGAATCTTTAAGTATCCGTGTCAGCTTGCTGTCCCTGTACGGTATGTGAGCTTTCTTACTCTGAAACAAACGAGAACAGTTGACATTAGCCTAAGAAATAAGACCATTTTGGATATTTGGGTCCACTTAAAGTGTACACAAGCAAGCAACTCAGAAAATATGAAAAACTCTTGGGATTCCATTTACTTAGAAAAATACATCAAATAAAAAAAGGAAAGGAACAAATAAAGATTCTGGGAATCCACCTCTTCTGAAACATGACACAAATCAAAATGAAAGAAATAAAAAGTTTCTGTGGTATGCAGAGGAGCACACATGTCAGATGTGCCTTAATATGCATTCTCCATCTGGACAAGCTCCACAAGAGAAGCTTAGTCACATTACACTGTTTGGTGGGGACCAATAAACCTAAAGGGGAACAAAATTCAATATGGAGTGTTCATTTTAGATTCCAAACAGGGACCATCCATCCACAGTACTACACTGGAGTCTCTCTGCAGCTGGTTTGTCGTAACCGCTCAGTCTGTAATAATGGCATTAGGTAAACTACAGCTGCTTAGACGAGTCACAATCTCATGAGCGTTGCGATTGCAGAAAGTCAAATTAAAGTTAAGCAACAAAGGAGTGTAAAATGATCTGTTTTGGGGTTCGCAGCTGTGCCTGCACTTCTCCCTGGAAAAACCCTAAGCCTACATCTAGACTCAAAACCCTAGTTATAGTTCATGTCAGGTCCAGGGAGTTTCAGGATAACTGTGCCAATTTGGAAAAGCTCCTTTCTTAATAAGAGCAGGCATTCAAACATATTCTTTTAGCGAAGTCTGTTTCTAAACCTAAACAAGCATATTTCACTATTCAAATGTTCGTTTTGACTCCATTAGTCAAACAAAGATTTGACAAACACAGTTCTGTGGTTACATATATAACACATACATAATAATGTAACCCTTTTTGGGTGATTTTACTGAGGCAGGTTGATGACAGATGACAGAAAGCTTGCTTCTTCTTAAAATTGCTGTAAGGAGCCATGTCTAAAAATGTTGGCAACCACATATCAGCATTTTCAAAAGCATTAAGTCAGATTGTCAATATCAAATGTATCCACTTTTTACAACATTTTCAGAAAGCCCCATTTTTGTGGGTGGGAAACAGTGGCTTTGTGTGGATGGAAGGCCAACATGGAGAGAAAGGATGTGTCATAAAATGTATCTGCATTAGCTTGGACATTGCCTAAGGCAAACAACTTACAACAAAAACCTCTGTGCAGCATAGCATGAAGATGACATACTGAACAGCCCAAACAGAAGTAGCAGGCATTCTTCTCACTCAAACGAAAGGCATGTCAGCCCAGACACAAGTGGGGACATTCTTTCCTGTAAACAATGGCCACAACATGAATTCCTTGTCTGCCAACAGTGAACACTGGAGCACCAATAACCATGGCGCTAGGGTGGAGAAGGAGTGGGGATTAGTGGTGGGCGTTGTAGCCTGAGCAGATCAAACTACTCTTGAGTCCACAACTGCAACACTCAAGAATGGTGAACAGGGTCTAACAGTAACTGGACAGTGTCCATGAAAGAACACAGTTTTAACCCAAGATTAAAGTAACCTGTTGAAGAAGGATCAAATTTCAACATGGCTGTGGTACATTTGCACAGCACTTCCTAAATGCATGGTGCCCGCTTGCGCCTCATCCCTTGAGACGCATGTGTAAAATGAGAAGACTGCTTGACAGGTTAATGTATGCAACTGGAATGAAATAATACCCAAATACTCAGTTGACCCTCCACTTCCCAGGCTCTGTTTTATATGGAGGCTGGTGGTCAACTTAATATACCTATAACCATAATAATCTTAAGAACATCTATATTTACTGATTACTTGAAAAGAAGAATACTAGCTTAAGACCGATACTAAACACAAAACATTTCATCTGCTAGTAGTTTGTGATGTGTGTGTAAAATGCACATTTATTGCAATAAATAAAAGGTGAGAATGACAGTATACTATTATAAACATTTTTTGTCAGATTATCTGTATACATGGTATTAACATCTGTAGTTTGATTGAGTGAAGAGAGTAATGCCAGACCTTGGTTCAGGGCAATATTCATTAATATCGAATTTGATAATATCGAATATTACAATATTTCTCATCATATGCAAACTTTTTTTTTTTTATAATATCTTACTTTTCTTTGCATTTTACTTCTTTGCTTGTACCTTGGCATGGGACATAAAACTCTCAACTGCTGTTTGGCAGCACCGCTTATACCTGAAACATAAAAAAAAAAAAACCTACAGCCCATACCTAGTCAACCCAAACTATAATACAACAATGCAGACTACACAGAATCCAAGATTCTTTATCTAAACTATACCTACCAGACTATATCTCATGTTTTTTTTTCTTTGCAATTTTCTTTTGAAGTCTGACTAATTATTAATTTATTAAATGTTAGTGTGTATTTTATTACTTTTGTTGGTTCAAACTGATGAATCTTGGTTTGACTGTATCTTATTTGTTAATTGCTGTAGATCCTTATTTCAAAAGCTTCTGATTAAACCATCATTCTAACTAATTTCAGGCAGAGTAGTGTTTCGTTTGTTACCAAGCTAACCAACCACTTTGTTCACTTTCTAGTCTGACAGATACCACTGTGTGCAGCTGTCTTTGCTAACCAGGGGGTGTCTTCTGTGCATTCAAAATTCAAGATTCTGAGTGTTTCAACAAGCACACAACACTGTTTGAATGTTAACTCTTTTGTTAACAGATTCCTAATTTGAATTTCCAGCTGTCATTGACACATGTGAGATTGCTCCAAGCCAACAGAAAATGTGAAACACTGTTAAATATTTAAAGGGAGACCATATTTTCCAGTTTCTCTTTTCTAGTGATTTCTCTATTACTAGAGAACAAGTCCAAACTTTTAAAGGTTTTTTGGAAGGGGTGGCAACCTGGTACTGGAGCATAATGTTCTTGGGAAATTTGAACAATATTCACAACAATGGCTGCACATGTAAAATGTTGACGCATATTTTTTGACTATTTTATGACCAGAGCAATCATTGGACCTAATGCCAAAATTACATTGACATAACCACCATTCATTAAAATATTAATTGTTATTACTCTGGTTAATTCAATTCCTGTTCCTTATTTTATTTCCATTATTTTGTATGATGGGGCTTCTTTAGTACATGGAAATTAATAACCGTACAGCTTGCGCATGGAGTGCACCAGAAACCTCAGCACCTATTTTTTGCTCTGTTTAGAACACTGGTAAGTTTTCACATTTATCCAAAAAACTGTTGGGTTACTTTTCCAGCCCTCTGTATGTTATGTTCAGAATATGTAGGGTAATAAAAACTCACCTTTGGGTCAGCAAGAGCATTGATAACATTTCCTAGGGCAAGGAGTGAGCGATTGATGTTAGCACCTTCCCGCAAACGTGCACCCTTCGCGTTGGTGGCACTGGCTCTCTCTGACCCTGCCAGATCAATCAGGCTCATTTTGGCAACGCAGACATTAGGATTGAGGCTAGCGGTTTTGTCCTGCTGTCTCAAATATATCTGAAAAAAATAACACAAAATTGTCAATTTAAGATGCATTGTTAGATGTTTGTAGTGAAACAAGGTATTTTAAATTCTTATTATCTTATAAACTGAAGATATTAGTAACAGCATCCTTGAAATTGAGTAGAAACACTTTAAAGTTCAGCGTTTGCATTTATGTTTCTTACTTTGGTAATTATTGTCTATTCTATATTGTTTTCTTATTTCAAGTCATGACATGATGCTACCACCTAATTGTCCTTTGGGATTTCAATAAGATTGGATTGATATACCTGAAATACAGCGTGGGACCGGGAAGAGGTGGCATTCATATCAGTGGGGTGTTGCGTCCTGTTTCGATTGCCAGAATCCAAAGCCTCAAGGATGTGCTCTGCAGATTTGGGCTGTATAGAGAGAAAGAAAAAAGAGAAAAAGATTACATAGATGGTTTGTGAGCCAGTAAAAGGACCACTGCAGGGCACTTGAACACAAAAAACAACAGAACAGTGAGGGGGCTCAACATTAAATAGTTTGTATATGTAACCCAGTTATATAGAACAATAATTGAGTTTTAGAAATAACTATTCATTGGCTAATTTAATCATTTTGTTTGAGAAAACAACCATGTCCACACAACCTTTAAATTTTTTACCAATTCATTAAGAGAAAGGAAGTTGCTTGAGAAGATTGTTTTCCTGAATGGTATCTCCCTCACATCATTTTCTTGTAATGTCTTACCACAGAAAGTGCATTTTTAAATATCAATGCTTGCAGGGGAGCACAATTCTTATCATTTATTCTTATACAACCTCTACAGACTTAGAAAATATGATTTTCTAATTAAAAACATTACATTATGTATTGCAAAAACAATTAAGGGAAATCGAAATTAGACTGAGTGTAATAAATTGACTTTGCAGTGACACCAGTATTTACCTTTAATAAGCTCTATGATGCTAGGGGGAATGTGTATGATACATGCTGCTACTAACCTGATGTAGTGTGAGGCCCTGCACAACCACTCCTTTAGAACTGTCTTCTCTCACTGCAAGAGGGCCTACATTAGCCAACAAGTCTCTGATCTGTTCATTGTAAACCTGTAAACAAACAAACAAACAAATATAAATGATGATCAGTGGCAAATCCATTAAAATCATCCAAAAAGATTAGTCAAGATAAACATGTATGGTGAGGTAAAGGCTCTGTATGAGTTAACACTTAAAGAGTTAACAGTGAAATGTTTCAAAGCCAATAAAGCAATGTGTAAATGCTGCAGTGCCAGACAAAAGTAATGTGGTTCAACTTTCAAAGAATACAGCAGCTGAAACCTTTCAAAGTCTGAGAATCACTTTAACACAAACATGCACAGGTTATGCACTAATACAGATGACAACAGGAAAACAAACTGAAAAAAAAAAACCCCAAAACAATAAAAAAGTAAAATATTCACCTCAAGATATGAGAATGCAACAGTAAACACCTTCTCCTCCTTGGCATCATCCATGCGTTTGAACAACTCTTTCATGGTACGATACATGACCCCGGGGTCGTCTTGTGAACCTAACATTGTATGTGTCTTGCCTGCTCCGGTAGCACCGTAAGCAAACACTGCAATTGAAAAACAATTTAATCAAAAACAACTGAATGACATCTCTTTAAATTAAAGCATATACACTGTATAATATGAACGCTTATCGCAACAACATTAAACTTGCTTTGGATACAACACATCCACAGACTCTAATGTGAAAACTTGGAATAGGAGAAATGAAAGCATCAAATATACCTTTTGAAATGGGGCCCAGAAAAGCTGTGCTTATCATGCTTAAATGAGCTTAATTGATTAGAATTATGTTCTGATCAGCCTAGATTTGACAGTGGGCTTACATTATGTAATACGGTCTCAACACCATCGAAATGACAAGCTTTAAACTCACACCAATGAAACAAATACAACTCAAAAAATTTTGTATACACAGTACAATTCAATCAAGATAAGATAAGTGGTAAAAATTTTGTGTCCACTATACTCTCAGTTGCAAATTTATGAGGAAGCTAAAACTAATGAGGGGTAATACAACAGTCCTGCAATAAATCCTACCTTTATGATGGACCATTTATATCAACAATGGTAAGCTAAATTTGAGTGAGATAGAAAACTAGCGGAGCTACAGAGCTAGTTAACCTAGATCTATAACTGGCTGCTGTTGTCCCTAATTCTGATAGGAGCTGTGATTATGATCACAGCCATCGGATGATATAGCTTTGGCTATTGCTGTCTGTGATCGTGGCTGTAGATATGGCTGTGCTTTGGTACAATTATAGCTGGGACACATAAAAACTGGCTGTATGCAGGAGTTGTTTGTATTCACTGAACTGACATGGTTGTGGTGGCTGAAGGCTGTAATGAAGCTACTGTGTTCTTTAACTCCTGTGGTGTATTGGTAAAACATCTATAATGTGTGATAGAAGCACCATGTGTTCAAATCCCATGTGGCTCAACAATGCTTTCGTTGCTGATGTTAATAGAAGCAGTAAAGAGGGTACAGTACAGTACAGCTACGTAGCCTTATCCTTAGCACCATCAATACAACCACAAATACAGCTGTAATACGAGCAATAACCATATCACAGCCACAGCTTCAACCGCCACAGTCAGGCAGAGTAGCTGCTTTTGTTGTGAAGCTAGTGACTGTATACAGTCAAAGCTCGGTCACTGGAAAGGCGAAATGAACAATACATGCAGAAAATTAAGTGTCACATCATCTCTCCTTTCTGTTGTATGTGCAGAACATTGCGAGGGAAGGCAAAACTTTTATATATAGTTTTTTATATTTATAGTTTTAACACATTGTTTGCATATATTCATGTTACCTGTGCAGTTAAATCCATTCATCACACCATCCAACACTACTTTAGTGGTGTTCTCAAAGATGTCAACTTGGGTAGAGTTCTCATTGAAGACATGGTCGAAAACAAACTTGAGATCTTTGTTAGCCCTTTTGTTGATGTTTCTGTTTCGTACTCTTTGTGACCCAAAACATGACATGTCCTCTTCTTTGGGGTCAAATATGAGCATGTGGTTATCAACAACCTGGACCACATTTTGACAGTTTTCACGCTTCTCACTGTCATTGGTTGGCCTCACTCGAACAACCACCTTTACATGGCTGCACACATTACTTGCCATTGTGGTCACCCTGCATCAACTGACGTGTTGCTGCAAAACAAAAGAAAAGGGTTAACTGCATTTCCCACATTATAAAATGAAAACACCAATGTAATGTTTAATCCTGATTAAATCACTCAAACCAAGAGAGGAACTGGGGAAAATGGACAGGAGACAGGTGTATTAAAATTGACTTGACTAACTTAAGTCACTAATTCGCCTCCCTGAAAGGTTTGTCTCAGCTTCTCCTTAATGACATTGCAGGTAATAACAAAATCTCAACACATCACATAACCAAGCAGGCACGTTTTGCTGTTTTATAGGTTGTGTAGGGCATGGTTTCAAAATTTTGTTAGTGAAGGTCAGCATTACATTACTGTAAACCACAAATGTCCTTTATGAGGGGTGGGAGATGTATTTTAATACAACAGTCCTGCAATAAATCCTAGTACAATGTTGATTATTTTGTTTTGTATTGTGACACATACAATCTTTCTAATATATGTCATAAAATATTTTGTCTTTGGTAAAAAGTGGTTTGTATATTATTTTTGAAAGTATTAGAATAATTCTTCTGCTGTATAAAAGTGAATTTGTTTGTGCCAGGTGTACCTAATAAACTGGCAACTAAGTGTACACAAACAAAATCACACATGTTCAGACTGGGTGTGCCATGTTTGTGTGTTCTTCCCTATCACTGCATAGATAACTATGAATACCATGCTTCTTTTCTGCTGATTACAAGAAAACGAATGGACTAACGTTACAGTGGCTGGGAGTCAGTTTCTCTCCTTTTAAAATACAATAAGTAAAATCTACCGTTACGTTTAAACAACGAGGCTTAATAATGACATTATACATCTTGTCTAACAGTTAAGGACTAGTACCTCTCAAGTCACGATAGAGGTTAGATACAAGGTATTATTTTACAGTTAGTTAAGTGCAGAATATATGAATTGAGTCACATGTTGCAATATGACGCTTTTAAAAGGTAAAAGGATTGAATATGTGGCCAACCCTCCCGGTCTGTCAATCACTACAAACTCATGTTATGCAGCTTAACAATGCTGTAGCTCACACAACTGTATTATAAACTCTAGTCAAAATACTTTAGTTTTCAAACATACCAACTATGCCAGACTGTGTTTTGAGGAAATGTGAATAAAACAAAGAAAAAGAAAGTTAGCATATTAATTGAAACGGTGTCTGAGGTTTGAATGTCTACTGTCGCTTCAGTGAAGACCTAGATGAAGCTGACACGTTATAGAAAGCTGTTAAATGGTTTAAAAAAGAAGACGAAAGAAAAAATTACAACCTTAAAGCTACTTAAGGGAATGTGAATGGGTTAACTTGGCAGGGTTGGCTAACGCCTGCTAGCTAGCTCTCACACAATTTCCAACGGTAAGTTAGCGTCTTCATGTCGGTTACACGGTGTGGGGATTATTATTACGCCTTACCTTTTAGTCAGTAACCGTCGTCTTTCGGTTCATTAGCACGGTAACGTTTTCCAATGAGAAACAAGTCGTTCGTGTTAGGAAAATTAATTTGCTAGCAAAGCTTATAAATAGTCATAGCTAGCACGACAAGCGCCAATAATTTCAAAAACAAGCCTTCTTCCTCTGTCGCAGCGTATTGGATGTGAGCCGCTGGTCAAGGGGCGGACCGGCGTGACGCAGTGAGCATGCTGGTGCCGAAGGTGGAGCTACTCAGCGGTCTACTACGGTAAGCTACAGTTAACTTGCCTGTGGCGTACACACAGTTCACTCGGAAGAAATACTTTTAAATATAATAAACTGAGTGTACTGTTGCGCACATGTTCATTTATTCGTTGACAATTTGTGAAGCTAACTGCGTGGCGTCATCCAACATGTCAGGTGTGAAATGCTCAGCCACTGCTCGTCTAAACACCATTGCAGCTAGTACACACTTTTGTGATCAAGGTTAACAAACGTATCGTTAAAAGCCGAGATAAACCAAACACCTCTTTAAAACTTTTTGTGCTTAGCGTGTACACGTGTAACCCTACGTCTGTAATCCCCAACCACTCATGCACACTTGCCCCATGCTAGCTCTCTTATTCATAGCAAGGTAGGTTGGCTAATCTGCTTCACAGCAAAACATTGCTTTTGTTTCAGAATAGCAGGATAACATTACGTGACGACAGACGTGTGGTTAAATGAAATGATCTTTTAACAGCTACCACCAACCCGGGGCTGTAAAGCTATGCGACTGTGACCTACCTGCTCCTAGCTTTCTGGCTAGCAGCTAAGTGGCCATTGCAATAATAAGAGAGGGCCCTTGTAAAAAATACCTCCTCCTTAAATTAAATAATAATGTCCCTATTATCCTTGGAATGATTCACCTCCTTTCACCCAACTAGAGAGGGGATGGGCTGTTTAAAATACTTATATGGTGTGAGACAAAACCTCCTTTATGTTGTGATGGTCCATTCTTTTGGCAATTGGCTATAAAATGATTCAAATAATCACAAAATGATTCATAAGTGATGCTAAATTTACAGTAAATTTGATTTTGATTCCTCTACTGCAGGTATTGCCCTCAGTCTGACTTCAATCATGCATTGTCACTCAGTATTTGTATTTCCACCTCTTCAAGTACTGTGTAATTCTTTGCTGCCATTGAACATTTGCATTGCATTCACCAATGCCATGTGCAAACTGGTTGAATGCCTTCAGCTCCTGAACATATTTCTGTTTTATTAGAATCATACATAACTAACTGGGCTATAATTTTCAATACTTCCTGTTGCCAGGAAACACCTGGATACCTTTTTAACCATGTAGCTCACTTTGGTGCCTGGTGCAGGCTGTATTGTTTATGTAAAATGCTAAAATGTTCAACCAATCAGCCAGTGTTTTCAACTGACCTGAAATGTTAAGTGATGTCCCCTTGTTTTGGCTGGGCATCCAGTGTTGGAAACCACAGATGCTTAATCAGTCCAAAATCATTTGCATTATACATAGTTGTTATATAGTAGTACTGTATGTAACCATTTGGTATATATTCTTGGAAACTATATCGGATAATAGCATAGTAACTACAAAAATCTATAGTCGGTTATTTTAAAATCGGTAATAACCTGTCGCTTGCAGTCCATAACTCCAGCACCATCTTACTTAAGCTTTCAAAATACTGATATTCAACTGCATTACAAACCCTGCTCTTCTTAATTGGCTTAAACACTTAATAGCTTTGCTCTTATTTTCTACATAGATCACTTTAAGGATCATGATTTTCCACATGTCTCTGCGCTCCAACCCAATGTTACGGAAAACCAATCTGGCTGTGTGGAGAGCATGGCAGTCATGGAAGTTAGGCCTGCACACTTCTACAGTTGGTGCATCCCCTGGTCCTGGTCCCTGGGAAAGATCTGAAGCACTGTCTTCTGTTTCAACTGAAAAGCCTCCTCACACGCCTGTCATGCTCAAGGAGGTGCTTCAATACTTAAACATCCAACCTGGTCAGGTGAGTTTGTATCTTTGCTATTTGTGCTAGTTTTTTGATGTCCTGTAGAAAGTGAATGCCGGTTTGTTTTAATGTTTTTTTTTGTTGTTTTTTTTTTTTAATATGTCAAAGATTCACTGAGATTAAATGGGTGTCATGCAAAAGTATTAAAACAAAAGGAGTTGTGTAATTTTACCTCCTATTCTTACCACTATTGACAATAGAATGTATACAACCCCTGACATATTTCCACATCAAAAAGTTCCTTGAATATGTTCAGACAGCAAGTCTGATATGTGACTAAAATGAATCTCTAGTCCTGTCCACACTGATATTTGCAGGTGATTAGGTCGTATTTGTATTTTCAGGCATTGTTATCTAGTCTGCCTTGGTTGCTATAGTAATGGCATAGACATGCAAACTCATACTGGGAGGTGTTTCTTATATTCTGTCCCTCTAATGTGTCAGAACGTTTGAAACACCTATCAGTGTCATACAGTTTTTACAACACCACTACTAACTACAGTCCCAAAAAGTACAGCACAGTTGAATTAACACCTCCCTGACAGCATCAACAACAATTCATGTTAAAATCTTCACAAAGATGAGATTTATTGCAGAGCTGTTATATTAGTTTTCTAACAAATATACTGATTGGTTTTGAATTGGAAAATAATTACATAACACCAACGTTAAGAACTCGTTTTCCAAATTGTGCATTATAACACCTCAGTAGTATCGAATTGCAATCTGAAGATAACTGTTAGAAATTACAGCTTCACCGATGCTTATTCTCTTTACTGAGATGTTTGTTGCTAAGGTAAAAATTCTGTTCACACACTATATAACAACTTGTTATAAAAACACACATGAATTGGACAGAGTGCCAGTATCTTGGCTTTCACTTAATGTATGTACTACCAGGACAGATGGGCATGAGTCAAAAGCCTTCTGGTGTGGCAGGCAGCATAGGAGGGGAAGTGATGCCCCCCCTATATAATGCATGGTCAAGGCAGGTGGGGGCCATGGGTCAACAACTTAGTCAGGAATTGCGCCACTGTAAGGCTGTTGGCAGGACACAGGGTGCTGCGTCGCTCCTGCCTGAACTTTAGCACCTCTAAACTCCTCCGCTGCCCGCCCATTTGCCAACTGTCCCAAGACAGCTTGCCAATCAGATGCTATTAAAAACAGTTTGATAGATTTTTGTTTTTTTTGTACAGTACGTGCTGTAGACCTCACTTAGTGTGACGTTCTGTGGAAATGTGACATGGTTACATTCAGAAGTCGTGTCTTAGATGTTGCTTCAGTGCAGATGTCTGTTAATTTATTTATTTATATGATGACACATATGTAATGTTGCAGTTTCACTGGTTATGTTATAACCACATCAACAAGTCAGGTCAAGTCAGTCAGGCAATCGGAAATCTGAATTCTGAGATACCACTTTGACAGAGTTGCCATTTAAGCTATTAAATTTGTGGTGGTTAAATAATGGTGCCACTAGCAGATCTGTTGCTGTTAGGAGGAAAACTTACCGTTAATATTTGGCAAATATCCAG